TAACTTTGTGGAAAAAAAAACTGGTACCGGAACCGGTACCAGAACCGGCACCGGTACCGGTAACGATTTTGGGGCACCGGAACCGAGACCGGATGTGGCGGTACCGGTGCCGGTTCTCGGAACCGTTTCACCGTCCCGGTTGCCGTTACGGTGCTCGGTACCGGCGGTACCATTTCCGGTGACGGTACCGAACCGGTACCGTGTCCAGCCCTAGTTGTTGCCTTAACTGACTACAGTTAAGTGTTCGAAATCATTTGACTTAAACTAATGATAGTTTAAGTTTCCGGTTGCCGTAACTGACTATAGTTAAGTGTCCGAAACCAATTGCCTTAAACTAATGATAGTTTAAGTATCTGATTAATGATTGCCTTTTAAGAATTTGGTTATGGAAATTATGATTTAGCCTTAGACTAAGAATAGCTAAGAGCATTATTATGATATGGCCTTGGACTAAGAACAACTAAGGGCATTGTTATAATCTGGCCTTAGATTAAGAATAATTTAGGAGCACTATTGAAATAATATCTGAATTGAATAAAATGTATTGATATGAACTGAACAATACCAAAACTGTGAATGTCTGAAATGAACATTGTGTGCATGATATCAAATGATTTGATTATGAATTTAGATTTAGTTTACATGGATGTTCGACGCATTAGATATACTTACTCAGCTTTACCGCTGAGCGTATAGTGTGTTTTATTTGTTACACGCAGGTAAACAGAAAGAACAATGTGATCCTGGCGGCAGATGGGGCGAGATTGTCGGGATGGATGTGACAAGTTTGAAATGATTTATGATATGTCAATATTAAATTTGCTTCCGCAATATTGTTGAATACTCCGTAGTCCGTACCGTATATGTTATGAAAAATATTATTGGAATTAATAAAGTGTGTTTGAAAAGTTTTAAATTTTATACGATTACCAATTTAATACTTTAGTCCGAAAGAGGCTGCAGACCTAGACGGATTGAGGTGTTACATATCTTCTTTCGCTGTCAACATATCCTTCGCTATGGAATTAGGGCTGGACACGGTACCGGTTCGGTACCGTTACCGGCGCCGGTACCGGCGGTACCTGCAACCGTCTTTGTCGGCCGTTTCATCACCCGGTACCAGGAACCTCCGCCCCACTCGGTACCGGTTCCGGTGCCAACATTTCCGTCCTGGAACCGGCGGTACCGGTACCGGTTCCGGTACCGTACCGTGATTTTTTTTCTTTTCCGGCAGTTCAACCATCGCCCTCAACTCAAGCAGCCACTCGAACTCTCGATTCTCGAAGAACATTGAAGGAAGAAGAAGCACGCCAAATGGCCAAAAGTCCATGGCCCAATAGCCTAATTTCTCAAAAAAAAGAAGAAGTTTGGTGACTGTGGCGAGTCGGCGACTGGAAACCGAGTGGAAATTTCCCAATAGCCCAATTTCTCGGATTGTTCCGCAGCAATAGTCATTGGCGACTATGGCGAGTCGGCGACTGGAAACCGCAAGAAATTGGTGGCCGGTCCGGTACCGGAACCGCCGGTCCGGGCACCGGTACCGGCCGGTCCGGTCACGGTACCGGTACCGGCCGGTCCGGTCACGGTACCGGTACCAAGGGGTGGCGGTACCGGAACCGGCGGTTCCGGAACCGGAACCGTCCCGGAACCGTCCCGGAACCGTACCGTGTCCACCCCTATATGGAATTCGTAATCTTGATCATTTGATTGTTTGTTTATTTGTTGAAAAATGCTAGGGGTACATCAAAGGTGTACCCCATATGTCCCCCACCCCCTCCTTGTTCACATAATTGGCCAAAAAAATAAAATAAATAAAAATTAATTAAAAAATAAGTGGTGGAGAAGGGGGTGATGTACAAATGGGGTACACTTTTGGTGTACCCCTACCATTGCTCTTATTTGTTTGATGAGCCATGCTAGGGGTACACCAAATGTGTACCCCAATTGTTCACCACATGCTTCTCTACCACACATTCTTATTTGATTTGTATTTATTTATTTATTTTTTGAGTTTCTTGCCAATTATTGTGGACAAGGAGGGGGTGGGGGATATTTGGGGTACAACTTTGGTGTACCCCTAGCATTTTTCTTGTTTGATAGATCTATTTGTGTTTTTGGGGGTGTTTTGTCCACTTGTACCTATTTCTCTTATAGGTTAATTTGTTCTTTTTAGTTAAAGTTATAAAATTGGATGTTGAAATAAATTGGAAAGAATTAAAAAAATAGGAAAAAGTTGGGAAAAGTCAAGAGTTGGAAAATATTAGGAAAAATAAAATGTTAAAAATTTCACTCAATTAAATAATCACCAAATAAGAAAACTAATCTTGGATAATTTTTTTTATCTTTGTTTGTGTTTGAGGTGGTATATTATGCATTTGAATATATGATATTGTTGTATATTTATTATACTCCCTCCGTCCCTAAATATTTGCCACATTTGTATTCCTGAGGCAAAATATCAAGTTTTTTCAATTCATTTTATTTACATATTGGTATGAAAATAAAAAATAAAATTTACATATCAAAAAACTACATGAAAAATTCTTTAAAATAAGAGGTGTCAAGAATATTTTATTTTATCAAATAACCAATGAAAACGTAAAAATAAACAAAAGTTCTCACGACTGGTGATACTTCTTTATAAACCCAAAAAATTAATTGAGTGGAGTAATGCCAAGGGACAATGATACTTTTCATTTGACAGTTTACTTGTCATAAACCCACCTTCCTATTCCTCCGTTTACATGGACGGACCACACACTCCTCCATCTGTTTTATTCGCCACCAATTAATTTCACTACAATGAATATAATCTTCCTTCTGTATTTTACTCACTGTGTTAGACAGATTTTTTTAAACCTATACTGTATATAATGAGTTGTTGGCGGAAAAGGACGTTGTATGACATTGCCGGCGGCTTCTTTAATCGAATGTAAATTTATATACGAAGTACGAACTTGTTAAATTATGTTGTTTATTTATATCAGATATATAGGGAGATTGTTAAAATATTTCCAATAAAAAGCAATCTTGTAACACCGTATTAACTCTATTTTTCATAGACGTTATTGTGATAATACTCCATATTTATTTTAAATTTCATTCTTATAAGTTACCCCTTTGTTGAAAATTTTTCTTTTGTTTGTCAAACTTTTTAAACGGTAGCCACAATGTATAGAAAAATATATATTGATTTATAATACAAATTTAACATCAATAAATTCATTTCGAAACAAAGTTTTGAGATATTATATTATACTGGGCATAATATATGTATTTACATAAATAGAGAAATTAATAGTCAAATTGTTACATTGAAAATAACGAAAAATTGAATGGGAAGAAACTTTATGGACAAACGATGGAATATTATAATGATTTCAATAAGGCTTGTGCCAAACCATACCTATTTGGCTAAATATACTCCATTTCCCTTGTTTGGATAAATATTGTTTTTCGGTTGTTGGCTATTTCTGTCAACTATTCTAAATAATACTCTGTAATATTTTATTTTATTTTCAACTCATCAAATTTAATTAATGTTTAATTTTTACACTCAATCAAATTTTCTCTCTCTATGCATATTATTACCTTTCACGGCCAAATAGCTCTGTTACCCTCTGTGCTTTGGAAAATTGGCACCAATACTCTCTTTGTTTTCAAAACTTATTTTTAAAGTCCCCGTGGTTTCAAAACGTTGCACCCACACTCCTTCTGATCATTTTCTGGCCATTTTCCGGCGAAGAGGGGGCATTGGCGCATAATTTTTAAACTATAGGGGGCATTCGTGCTCATTTCTTATAAAATACGCAAAAAAAGTCTTATACAAAAAAAATTAGACATGCCTAAAAAAGTCCATAGAATTAAGATGTCCAAAAAGGATATTCATTTTTATTTTTGTATTAATTTGTTTCTTATTTTATTCCTCATTTTTTTGAAGTTCTTAAAAAAATTACTTTTTTTCAGAAAAAACAAAAATTGTTATTTTGAGAAGTACATATGCATTATATGTTATTTTTTCAAACAAAAATAACTTTAGATTTTAAGAACATTATAAAAATAATTTTTAAAAAAACCTTTATTAATAAATGAAACAAAATAAGGAAAAAATGGAAAGAACAAAAAATATGCGAGAAATAAAAATCAGCACTGATACCCCTATGGTTTAAAAAATATGCACCATTGCCCCCCTTCTTCACTGGAAAAATGGCCGGAAAATGATCAGAGGGGGCACAAGTGCAACATTTTAAAACCACAGTGACTTTAGAAATGAGTTTTGAAAACAGAGGGGGTATTGGTGCTTATTTTGCAAACCACGGGGGGTATCAGCGCTACTGGCCCTACCTTTCACACTACACCCTCCTCACTTTCCCCTACCCTCTCTAACCATTAGTCCTTGCCACATAGGCTATTCCCCTCCCTATTTCCCACAAATTATAACATGCAACCGACTATATTGGAAATCCGGTACAGCCGGCAATTAGATCCAAGAAAGGAGGAACACAGACGACGAAGAAGAGGCCGATGAAGTCTAATCAAAGAAGAGAGAATCATGTACCGTGCAACGAAGGAGAGGCGCAGCGGCGACGAAGGGGAGACAAGTCGTCTGATGGGTGTAATCCACCCAGGACCGGTCATTGGACATATCCAGATGTTTGACCGGTCAAATGTGATATTATTGGAAGGGAGATTTGAGTCGTCAGTCAAGGAGAACTCAGTTCACCGAAAGGTTGACCGGTATACTTCCGAAAGTATACCGGTCAAACCGTTTCGTCATCCAGTTCATCTCTCAATTTTAGCTAATCCCAACCCTCAAGAACCACCCGGTGCCGTTTCCAAAGATGGGAGGGTGTCGACAGGAAGAATCTAAAGGGGCTTGGACTATAGTGACTAATATCACTGGAGAATCAATGGAGATGCTAAGGGAATCCATCCAAGGAACTACATGACAAGAGGGCAACCTTCCTCACTATGCGACAAGGTAGCTAAAGGACGAAGCCCATCACCTCCCACCATCCGATAACGTGCCTTCACGTGGGTGCACGATGTCCTGTCCCCCCAAACCTAATATAAATACTGCTGTAAACCTTAGAAAGAGGAATCCGAATTCATTCTCTCTAAACTCCCTTGTAAAAGCACCCGTGCATTCTCTCATATTAATATCAATTAGGCTACAAGTGTTTCCACCTATAGCCTTACCGGTCATTTTGCGTGATTTTACCATCTTACTTTATCAAATCAAGTAAACGATTCTAGACCCGGTCTAGTAGAGTTTACCCGGTCATGTAATTTACACCATCATCGTCAATCACCACTTTTTGGAGTATGATCGAGGAAGAAGAGCTCCGCCACAAAACGAGTACTCTGTCCTCCAATCTGATGGATGAAAAACCCTAACCTGCTACTCTGGTCGGGTGGGCAGGAGAAGAAAGAAAGGGTTGTCACGTCTTCACCTAGTATGAATTTATTTTGTTTAAGAATGGATACTATGTTATTGGAAAATAAATATTGCTTTGTTTCAGAATGAATTGAAAAAATTTGACAAAAGTATAACACTAAAAGAAGAGAAAAAAAAGAAAGGATACCTCTCAAATAGAGGCGGCCATCCAGGGAAGAAGGGGAGACTTCAATGAAACGGGGATGCTCGAGCTGTCGATTTCTACACAGATAATACATTAGAGTTAAGTGCACCGTTTACCCCCGAATTCTTTGAAAATTGCATGGTTTACCCCCGAACATTAAAAAGTGCACCAAACACCCCTGAATTCTTCAGAAATTGCACGGTTTACCCCTGAACAATAAAAATTGCACCAAATACCCCTGAACTCTTCGAAAATTGTAAGGTTTACTCCTGAACATTTAAATAAAGATGACAATTTTGGGTAAAGATATTTTGAAAAATTCACAAGGGTCAGATGAATGATATTCACAATTCTTGTGCGTGGAAGCAACACCCTCTCTATCTAATAGTTTACGACCAACGATGCAACGTTTTAATTTGTTCAAGGGTATTTGGTGCATTTTTAGTCTGCAGGAGTAAATCGTGCAATTTTCGAAGAGTTCAAGGGTAATCGATGCACTTTTTAAAGTTAAGGGGTAAAACATGCAATTTCTAAAGAGTACGGGGTAAACTGTGCACTTAACTCTAATACATTACAACAATCATGTTTACTGTGATTATTATTATCATTACAACGGGCGAATAAATGCTTGAAAATGAAAATTATATTATTGTTCCGCTATTTTCTCCCATGCTCCAATATCCGTATGCTTGGAGTAATTTCTCATGTAGGAAGCCGTTTAAGGTTCTAGTTCGTGCGGAAAGGAGACAAATCACACTCCAAAGTCAAAACTAATCCAATCACCTTACGACCCTCTACGCCCTCTTTTTACGCACTTTTCAAAATTAAGAAGAAAAGACATCATAGGGAGCACATAATCAACCAAAAGGTCCATAGCAACGAGAATCTTCTCAGCTTCTCACCGGCCTTCTCTTTCTCTCCGCCGCCCCCTCCGCCGCTGCGCCCCCACCCTTCTCTTCCGACGCATCTTATTGAATGTGGGTCTCCCATCTTACCCCCACTTGTCTCTCTCTCTCTCTGGATGTACGGGCACTATAAAGTGTATGTATGGGGTATTTGTGTATCAATAGATTCAATACACATCGAATATGTTGCCCATTTGTAGGCCTGACACTGGTCACCATATTTATTTCTTTCATCACTACAAAAATTATTGTCATGTGCTACTATGTATGTTAAAAAAAGCCTACTGTCATGAAATTACAATAGAATTCCTGCTTTTTCTCCCCTTTTGAATCCAACCCATATTCGGGAATCCTTTGTTTGTCGCTCATACTATGAAAGTTTTCAGGCAAAATTTCAAAGTTGGCGTTTTTATGCAGACCCAGAAATGGAAAGGAATTGGAATAGAGTTTCCGTGATTGTGTTTTGACTCTGCTCTAGATCTACCATTATTTTCAAGATGACTGGTTCGGAATTTTCCTGAATCGATTGTTTAAGGGTTCTGCTTTGAAGATCAGAGCGGTGGAGGGCGTGATTTGAGCAGTTCTTGGAGTCAGGGTTTGGAATGGAAGGGCGGATTAAAAAGTACAGGCCTTTGAGTCCGGACAGGGCCAAAGTTTGGACTGAGAAATCTCCCAAATATAGGCAGAAACAGCAGCCGCAGAGGGAGGAGCAAAGCTGTAATAATAATAATAATCACAGTAGCAGGATTGCTGTGGTGTATTATCTCTGTAGAAACCGGCAGCTTGAGCATCCCCATTTCATTGAAGTCTCCCCTTCTTCCCCGGACGGCCGCCTCTATTTGAGAGGTATCCTTTCTTCCTTTTCCCCACTCTTACTCTTGTAGGAGTAATTTTTTCGAATTCTTTCGGATTTTGGGACACTAAAGTTCAGTTTTTTATTAATGTTTGTGAAGATGTAATTGAGAGGCTTAACGTTTTGAGGGGCAGAGGCATGGCTTCATTGTACTCTTGGTCTTGCAAGAGGTAAAACAAACAGACAAGAACTTTATTTATGCTTTCCCAGATCTCACTTGTGGGATCTTACTAGTTTCTTGTTGTCTTCTTCTTCTTCTTCTTGTTGTTCTTTTTCTTGTGAATTTTGGTTTTGATTGATATGAATATTGAAAGCAGGAGCTACAAGAATGGGTTTGTTTGGCATGATCTTTCAGAAGATGACCTCATACTCCCTGCCCATGGGAATGAATATGTTCTCAAGGGCTCAGAGCTCATGGAAGATTCTAGTTTAGGTAAAATAAAATTGATATGCCTTGCATTGTTAATTAAAGCACCATTTAGTTGACACTCAAATATCCATTTTTATCCCAAATAGTTGTCTTTCTAGGAGTTTAATGCATATTCTTTTAGTAATCCTCCAAATTTTCCAATAATAACTTCTACATTGAAGATTTTCATAGCACTGAAGATTTTCAATTATTTTGGAACAAGTGTGGTAGAAAGTAGCTTTTCTTTTGGTGGAGATTGGCAATGCATGAAACCTTGATTTGCATTATCTTTATGGTAAACCAAGTCACTGAGGATCATGAATTTGTTAATCTAAAAATTACTCTTATTTCTCTTGCAGGGCACTTAAGCCCAGCTAGAATTGTCAAAATTCAAAACCCAAAACTGCTACCCGAACCGCCATCTGCTAGAAGTCAAGACGACTCTTCCTCATCTTCCAGTATGAATGGGAGAGGATCAAAACCTTTGCAGGACGACGAATTCTCTCCCACAGTTGAACGTCCCAATTCATCTGGTGTGTCCCCCGAGTCTAAAAATTCCTCTTGGAATGGTTCCTTCAGCATGACAGAGTGCAAGAACATTTCAGGCTTGGCTGATGCTTCGACACAGACAGAAGACAACCCAAGTAGAAACAATAGTGTTCGGGAGACCTGTACGAGAGGCATTTCTACTGATGATGGATCTTCTGAGGCTGAAGGGTATGTTTGGATTAATTCAAAAGACAGTTTGTTTCTTGGGTTTGGTTTTATATCAGAAGTTGCAATGGAAAATCAAATCTAAATAATGTTTTTTGAAACTGTTATATATGTTCATACAAGTATTTCCTAGTCTTTATATGATTGAAATGAATAAACAAATAAATTGACTTTTAACTGATATTTTAATTTTTTTTAGTTTGAACAATGGTTAATCCCCCACCGTAATATTTTTCGTCCCTATTTTCTTTTCCCAGCATATTCCTAATTTCAAATGGACCTGAAAAGAATGAGGGCACCAACATAAAAGAATCATCTGAGATTGGCAAAGAGTCAGTCTCGCCACATCCATCATCATCCAGTGTATCATCAGGTGGAAGAACTGATACCTTGGAGTCTCTCCTTAGATCTGATGTTGGTAGTAAGCTCAACAGCTTTAGAGTTCTTGGAGATGAGGAATTTCGAGTGCCCACAACAAAGATCAAGCCTTCAAATATGTTAATGCAATTAATCTCATGCGGGTCTGTTTCGGTGAAAGATAACAGTTTTGGCATTGTCCCAATGTACAAGCCCAGATTTTCTCATTCAAAATTTTCATCCCCATTATATTCAACAACCTCTCTAAGTTTGGGTGAACTCGATTGTCTTGCGGAAAATCCAAGATTAATGGGCGTGAGATTAGAAGATAAGGAATATTTCAGCGGGAGTTTGATAGAGACAAACGTGCCCAAGGGAGTAGCTGCTCTTAAAAGGTCATCATCTTTTAATGCTGACAGGTCAGTAATATACTACGAAGTATTAAAATAGTCTTGTTTGATTTAAATACAAATTTTAAATTTTGGCAAGATATATCTCGTGGAAGTCATGGAGTTGTAGTTAAATATCTAGGGTACGTAACTAAATTTATAATAGTGAACTTGTTTTGTGGCTATTTACATGAAAAGCTTACTTCATTTTATGGAATTAGCCCCAAAGAAATCTTTCTAATTGTCATCGATAGAATCCTTACGCAAAAACACTTAATTGAATAATATAGATGTTGTTGAGATGCAGGACGAATAAAGAGCTCGATTCAGTTGAAGACAGAGAGGATATGTGCTCAGCAGGCACAAAGTGCATCCCTTTATCAATCACGGCTTCATTTAGTAGACACCCAAGAAGTGAATCAATGAGATCTCCGCTTTCCGTGGGTCCCAGAATGTCATCATCCGAAGGACGAATCACTCCTGATAACACATCAAGAGGAGCAAGTAAGAGAATCACAGAGCCTCTTGGAGAGGCAGATAATGCGATCAAAATTGAAGAAAGTTAAGAATGCGTTTTTCTTCTTTTTCTACTTCAATTACTTGGGTATTTATGTGTACCAAGAATGCAAGATTTCATTCATAGTTCATGTTTGGTTGAGATTTTCTTTCCCCACTTTGTGTTCCAATTTCCAAACAGGCTTGCTTCGGGAGCTCGGATTATAATACAGTCAAACCCATCTTGAACGGCTAACTACTCCGAAGGGTCAGTCGCTTTTGGCATGGCCACGGGCCCACAGGCAGAGTTTCGGATATTATTCTAGCTGGAAATCAGAATTGGATCATCATTTCTTCATTGTAAATCTTTTTATATACTATGGAGTATATCTATGATAGTAGATGCAAAAAAAAAAAAACTTGAAACAAATTGTGTAGGTGTTGTAGCACAATGAATGGAAGTAGTTATAGACTGGCTGTTAGATGTATGGTTTACATATGATAAGTATTACAGTGGGAATTTTGATAGCTTAATTACTACATTTGGAATTTTGACATACATTGTGTCTGGATTAGTGCAATGCACAAGATGACAAGTGACATTGATGAAGAAAGGGCAGGATGGCATTACTCCACTCCCTCCTTTTGCACCTTTTGACTTGTGAGACAGCTTTGTCAAGTTTGCTTTACCAGAAGTGGTGGTTGTAAAGTCAAATGAAACTTTAATGCCTACCCTTCTGATCTGAATGAACAAACAAAATACCTTGCACAGTAACACTGCACCTCAATTCCTTTATAGCCCTCTTAAATAGCTAGATGAAATTGTTAGATCATAAGGTGTGGATCACACCATTCATTGCATCCTTTCTGCCAACTGGGACATTGCCCTTACTCAAAAGTAGATAGACTGTTTTCAAGAGATCTCTGATTCAAACTGCTTTATTAAAAAAAATCACGAGATACATGAAACAGAGAAAGCACGGGTGACGCACAGATAAAACACCAAGCACACCGAGGTAAGTAACAAGCTAAGGTTAATGGAGGAAGAGTATTGCAATCCAATAGCAACAAGGATACAACAATTACAGAAAACTATCCTTAGTCCAAGACATCTACCCAACTACTCTAATCCTAGTTAGGAGTATATACAAACTAAATATTATTAATTTGATTGGTAATTTGTATTTGGGTAAACCAAATTTGAATTTAATTTTAAATTCGAATCTAAGTCGAATCAGACTACAAATACCAAGAAGTTTGAATCGTTTAGAATTTGAATAATTTGAATATTATAAAATGGAAACAAATAAATATGTACTCCCTCCGTCCCTTAATCATTTACTCTTTACGCAGAACGAAATAAAATTTCAAGATTATTTGAAGATTGATATATAAATAAAAAATAAAATTTAGAGATTTAAAAAGTATACCAAAACTTCTACAAAATGAGAGGTGACGAGAATATTTTATTTCATCAAATGGTCAATGAAAACAAAAGTTGCCGCAGTAAAGTGTGTAAACCATTAAGGGACGGATGAAATATTTTTAGATTATTTGTATACATTAGATTAAAATTCATGGCCAAGAGCTTTGCAAACTAGCCCTATCTCATTTGGGTCCCGTTCCATTCAACTTATTTTTTCTTATTTTTTTCTTTATCTTATTAAAATCAGATCAGACCAGATCAGATAAGATCCAATCAGATCAGATCGAATCAAATTAGATCAGACCAAATCCAATCAGATCAGATCCAATCAGAGCAGATTAGATCGGATCTAATCAGATCAGACCAGATCAGATCCCATCAAGAATTATTATTATTATTATTATTATTATTTAAAATGAGAAAAGAATAAATTTTAGAAACAAGTTAAATATAAAACTGAGAAAGTAATCCTTAATTATTAGACGTCATAAAAATTATTTTTAAAATACATTGACAATGTCAATCTAATTCTACTTTTAAAATACATTTTTATTGCTACTTTTAATTTGAGTATCTAACGTTTTGATCTTTTATAAGGATGAAATATTTTAATAAAAATACAATCTCTTCTATATTATGATTATCTAAATTTAATTAATTTTTAATGTATATATAAATTAAATATTTATTCTAATGTATATATATGAAGTACTTATTAAAATGTCAAATTAATATTCTAATTTCACAAAAAAATAATCATAAAATAAAAAATATTATTACATTATAATATGAATGATTATTCTAATATATGAATTACGTAATTTTATTTTATTTAAAAAAATCATAAAATAAAAAATAATGATTATATTATAGTATGAATTATCATTACAATTTTAAAACGTTATTATAAAATCAAATCAAATTATTAATTTGAATTTTAAATCAAATCATAATCAAAGGCATATCCAAACTTACTCATTCCAGTTCGGGGGCGTCATCGATCGTCAGCCAGGCTTCCGCAGCTCATAAGCTTCCCAGAGTAGAATCGCCTCCTTCGATCTCCATTCCCTCCCCGTCGTCCGTCGATCCTCAAAACCAATTTCGCAGGTCTGAACTCATATTTACTTTAATTTCCTTCTAAAATATCCGTTTCTTTTAATTTTATTTTCAGTTCCGAATCTTCCGATTGTAGCAAGTTTAGCTAATTTTTCGATCCATCCATTTACCTAAATCTATATAGGCTGCGGCCTGGCTCACTGTGTGTATAGCCCTTACAGGTTGCTTGATTCTCGATGTAATTCCACTATAACTATTGTCTGCTGGCCTGTGACATGCGTATATGAAAATTAAGCTAAGCCAAATTAAACCCCACTTTGTTGAGAGCGATACCCATTGTTATTTTTACTGCACCAAATATATGAAAATAACTACCCGTAACTTATGAGTACCTATATCATACATCCTGATGTACGAATACTCATTTTTTAGTAACTGAATATTCATTTTCGAGTATCAGAGTACTCATTTTCGAGTAATTGAATACTCATTTTCGAGCATAACTAAATTTTATAAAAATGAGTATACAACTATTCGAAAATGAGTATTTATTTGCTTGAGAATGAGTATTTCGTTACTCGTAAATGAGTACTCGCTACGGATGTACGGGAAACACCATACAACCGGTTGTACGGTATATATTGCGGTAACTTAAAGTTTATAATTTCTTTATCACTAAGAGATTAAGAACATGTGAGGTCACATGGTGTTGTTTTGGATGCCAGGGTTGGATAATTTTATTTGACTATGAGGTTGTTTTGGCCTACTTTTGTGGGGGACATGTTTCCAAATTCTTAGCCTCCGGTCACCACCCGCATTTAAGAGGCCACGAAAGTGCTCCCCCCATCCATTCGAATCCTCTGTAGTTTCAAACCGCACTCTTCCATTGCTGCCCTACACGCATCTCACATGGTCTAGATCCCGGTCCGTCCTCTCACATGATTGAGCTATCCGAGAAAGACGTAGACATAAGTTTTAAAAAAATGCGAAGGAAAAAAAGTTAGCAATAGAAGAGGTACAAAAAAAATATTATTCCTCAACTTGAAGTGGTGGCGTGTACTTCTACAAATGCTCAACCAATTGGGCATGGAGTTTTTGGTGCGTATGTGTGTTGTGTTTTGTAAACCTGTTGAGATCTTGTGTTGCATCAACTACTTCGATGTTCTCACTCACGTCGTTTGGATTGTATTCACATATCTCGTGTCCTTCGTCTTCGAGAATCATGTTATGCAGTATGCAACAAGCGTACATAACATGTCGTAATTTTTTGGCTGAGAATGCTCAAGCCGAGTTTTGCACAATGTGCCATCTCTCCTTAAGCACACCAAGGATTTGTTCAACATCTTTTCTTTCTGATTTTTGGTATTTAGCGAACTTCTTTCTCTTCGCATCATCACAGAATGGTATAGTTTTAGCTATACCCGCGTAACTTTAATAGATTTGATCGTCAAGATAATACTTGTGCTTGTAATCTACCCAGAAATAGTAAATGACGTGTCGGGGATGAAACTCTGAACAATGTCGTTGAAAATATCTGACTGACCTAGAACGTTCAAATCGTTATTGGGATTAGCCACACAAAAGAAATCATGCTAAATTCAAAAATCATGTGCGCCAACAACTTTAAGCGCTATTGTGGGGTGATCGTGATAACTACACGTATATTGTGCTCGCCATGCATAGGAGCAATTATGCCACGCCCAGCGCATGCACTCAATATTCCCTAGTATGCCGGTAGGTTTGTGGCGTGGTTGGTGGGCGGCGTATAATTCCTATGTCTTTCTTTGTTGGTTTTCGCAAATATTCTTTGCTGTATAACGGATAACTTGATAACTCATTTGCAAAACTCGTACAAGCATTCGCACACCTTGCGGTCGGACATGTGTGTGTACTCATCGAGTGAATCAGTAAATGTGTTGTACGCCACAACTAGCCGCTAGTTCACTTTGTGGGATAATAAAGTGACTGACCGATCATATGGTTTAGCATGTCCAGGAGGTCCAGGCCATAACCGACCTGACTTAATTCTATTCTTATTTATTACGGAGTAGGGGTTGAGGAGGTACCATATCGACACCGGAAAAAAAACCCTGAAAAATCCGTACCTATATCACCAAACCGACAAATTTCAAAAAGACCAAACCGTACCAAACCGATTTTTTGTTATGGTATTTGGGTATGGAAATAGTCCAATACCCTTACGGAATTTTCCCTACCAAACTAATACTAGTCCACCGGAGTAATATGCTCAGGGAGTCTTTCGATTAGGGTTTTCATCCATATGGTATCGATATCCCTGTCTCTCTCTCTTCTCTAATCTTTTCCATCAAAGAATTCATTGGTGTTTCACGACTCCCTTTTGCTCTGCTCTCCATCAAAGAAGTGATTTTCTCTTCCACCACACTGTCACATCGCTGCCAATCCGTGGCGTCGACCACTCATCCATTCAGGCATTCATCAATTTCACCTAGGTATTTCATCTTCTCAGCTTCAATCATTACTTCTTCAAATAAAGTAACAAACTAACAAATTCAATTTGTATATTTTGTTTATATTTATTGAATTTGTCACAAACACTATTGCTCAATTAAAAAGTTGAAGGATTTTGGCTAAATAAATTGAATTCGAGAGACGATGGCCTGAGTATATTTTGAACCTAGTCAAAATTGCTGAAAGTATGTACAGTACATCCCAAACGATAAACTATTGGTTTTTTATGGAAGGAAAGATTTCATTTTATTGGATAACAAACACTTAGTGCATGTTTCAATACATTTTGATTATGATTCATACAAAACTTTGATTTGAAGTATTCTATCATTTAGGCTAAATATTAGAGAGTAAACAAATGTTTCTTTAGTGTTGTGTAGACTTTTATGTTATACGGAGTATATTTTAAGAGAATTTGAAGTATAAAATATTTAATTTGACTACTTACTATGGACTATGGATTATGTTTTATTTTCTAATTGTTTAGGTGAGTATACTGACAGCATTTCAGAAACTATTACTCCATTAGCATCAACCATTCAAACACATCATTTGCTCTTTTTGAATAGATTATTACTCAGGAGTACATGATATTCTCCTCTGTTGTGTTTGAGTTGAACATTATATCAGTACAAAACTGTAGTTCTCTTGGTGTTTTATGTTGACATAGTTTTGTGATTATTAGTGTAATTGAGACATCATGGACATATGATTTGATAAGTAAACTGAAAGCATGAGCATCGAGAAAGAAACTCAAGGATAATCTATTTTGATATGGCTTGTTATGTGTTGTTTTTTTAAACAAGGTTCTCATCCCTTGGAATCTTGTTGCCTTAGCTTCTTTCTTAGATTTGTTTACTGCTAATACTGCTGCCAGCATGCTGTTTGGGTTTCTTTTGCTGATTGATGCCTACTTTCTGCCTGCTCTCTTCCTGCATTGTGACTAAACTTGGTTGGTATCAGTACCGGCTAAATCCTGTCCCATACCATACCATGCTGACCCCTATTACAGAGTACTTCGGTACCTCCGTTTTGGTCTGTCAAGTCTTTAGCATTGGGAGCAATTGGGCTATACGGGAAGATCTAATTAGGGTTTGGGTTTACATCCTTTGCAGAAATGGATTTTGAGAACCATCCTCCGCTGCAGCTGACGGCGGTGGCGGCAGCGCAGTTCCAAGAAGGCATTTTCCTGGTGCTCTCTAGATGGACTTCTCTGCAGATGGCCGTCGCAGAGGAGTGGGGCGGCCCCACATCTCGTAAGAAGTCCGAGGATCTCGCTGTGCGCATCTTCTCCTTGTTTGCCCAGTCTAAAGTAACGCTATACGCCGATGATTTGGAGGATTTTCTCGACGATTTCATGATTTCTGATTTCAGTGCCGAGCTCGACGATGGAAGTATTGAGGAGGTGGCAGAAAAGTTGATGGTTATGCACGGGGAATGTGCGGAAGGCAACTTCAAGTCAATTAATGATCTGAAGGCGACAAATCTTGAGAATTCCTCTGTTTCTTATAAAAGACAGGAGGTGAGAGGTGAAGGAGATGATGATAGTGATAGCGATAGTGTTGTTGATGGTGAGAGTGATTTGTTGGGGAACGAGTCTTCGGGCATGGCAGTAGATTCTTTTGAACACCAAACATGTATGGACCAAAGAGAGATGATGATCGATGAACCAAGTACAGACATCACAACCGAAGACGGGTGGACAGTTGTATCTTCAAGGAAAAGAAACGGTAGAAAAAATTGATCCGAAGTCGAAATGGTCTGTTTTTTCGTCGTTTTATATAGCAATTTGGGAGAGTACTTGCATTGTTATTCTGCTTAACTAGCCTTTATGTTATGATTATGTATCTAGATGTGGTTTTATGTTCACTTATGTTCCCTTGAAGTCTTAGGGTGTCTCATTAAAGGATCAATTCTTTGCTGGTATGTGACTTAAATGAGATCAGTGTTCTGGATTTGATTGAGTTTTGAAAAAAAAGTGTGTTTATTTTTACTTTTATTTTATAGATTACTGCAAGTTGTGTTGTTCCATAAAAACTGTGCCTATTGAAGCTGAAAGCCAATGAAGTTGCTTGAGGTTCTTTGCTTTGGTAAAATCACAATACACTTGAGATGAGTGTGTTTATCTCAGGTGGACTAGAGAGCAACATGATAGTCTATCATCAAGTGATAGCACCATAGTGATCTATGTTAACTTTTAAAACTATCCACATAAAAGTATAAAACTGAGATGTGTATTCTTTAACTTATTTTTTTTATTTATTATTTATTCTTATTGAAATCAGATCAGAAAAACTTTAGCTATAACTACATTCAAATCAGATCAGATAAAAACCTATTCAAGTCAGATAAGATGAAGAGAACATGGCCTAAGTTTTGTATTTTGAAAAAAGTTGTGTAATTATGATTTGGTTCAATTGTAAGTAATTAAACTATTGATATTGCAATAACCGAGTGAGCTTCAATAGATTGAGAATGTATAGATAGATACTATCTTGTAATAAAATTATTAGTATTAAAAAAAATATTATCATTACATGGTTGGTCATGCAATATACTGGGACAGAGAAAGTTTTTTTACAGTAATTTCTAAGTTATATGTAAGAATTATTGATATTATTAGTCTTATTTTAGAAATAAGAACATGAAAGTTCTATTTTTTTCTTATATTTTACTTTTATTTTATTCTATTTTCCTATGTATTCTTAGTAATAATCGCAGTTTTTCTTGCATTAGTTACATCGATGGATCTCTCTAGAGAATTAATTGATTTCCGTCATATGTATAAAATATAAATACTTTCTTTGTCACAATACTAAAGCCAGTCTTCCAGTTTAATTAAGGTTCAAGATATTTGATTAAATTTATTATAAAGTTAGTATGCAAATTTAAAATAAACGTTATATACATACATACATACATACATACATACATACATACATACATACATACATACATACATACATACATACATACATACATACATATATATATATATATATATATATATATATATATATATATAAACATTAGATAAAAGACTCTAGTCCCCCGTCACAAATTAAATTACATGTTTACTATTCACAAAGTCAAATTTCATTCACTTTCTTTATCTATTTTCGTTAGTAATTCGATAAAATAAAATAATCATATCACTACGATACTAATTTTTGTAGACATTTTGATATTGTATTTAAACATGTAATTTTTATTATTTTATTTCTACACTATTTGTTATATAAAATGATTTGAAAATAATTTCAGTCAAACATCATAAACCAAAACGGATAATATAAACTGGGACGGAATAATTGATCAAATTATTATCAATATAAAGGAAAAATAGTTTAATCCTATAAATGGTAACATAGGGCTAGCTATAGGAACATATGACAAAGGAAATTCTACTCTAGGCCTCTAGGCTAGTACATTTACAAGGGCCGAGGCTAGTACATTTACAAAGGCCTCATTTCGCTACAAAGTGAGATATTAGTGTTATTGTTTTAAAAAAACTATCTAACAATAATTTTTAACGATAGAATTTTTAAATCTAATCTAAATCATTAAAATTTTATTAAAAATACAAATGCTAATCGAAAACAATGCTCCCAAGCAAAGCCAAAATACGATATTTTTTTATTACTATTGGATCTATTATACAATGTAAAAAAAATTTATTTTATTTTTATTGAATAAGGGTGGGTAGTATAGAGAAGTACGTATACTTTTCTTTAAGATTAATTAAGAAGACATTGAGTGAGGGAGGTGGAGCATGCCTTTAACGTGCATCCTCTATGCTTTCATGCCTGTTTTTATTCGTGACTTTCGCTGGCAATTTTTTCTTTTTTCCTCATTCTTTTTCTAATTAATTAAATAATAATTAATTAATCAATTAATTATTTAATAAAATAAACCCACACTGCATCATCACCAATGTAAGCACCTGCCCGGAATCTTTCACAAGATCCTTTTGTTGCTCATTTTTTTTCGTGTATTAATTAGTCCGAATTAGACTAATTATTCCTACAAGGAAATATGCTTTAATTTATTGATTTATTTTTACCCCGAATTTAATTTTAATTCCCTTTATTTCATTTCACTAGCAAACACTCCCTTACTCTACGCTCATAGTCATACCGCAGCATCACCAACTTTTGTACGATGACTCATGACTCACTTTTGCTTGAATTTTATAGGATTAACTACTCTACTTCGGCAGGGTTCCTTTGACACTGGTTAACAGTGTTACTAGTGGTCCCAATTTATTTACGAAGCATCTCTAGTATTTCGTTCGTAAAATTGATGTAATTCACCCCTTGATCCTCCCAGTCCAGTCCAGCCCCCTCCCATTCCCACCCTAAGCCGCCCCTTCAAATGTGTGAATAACCACACATTTGGAGGGAGGCTTATCCTGGGGATGCGTTGGGCCGGGGGACATAGATGGGGCTGGGCAGGAGGGTTTGGGGGGATTGGTTCCATCAATTTTGAAAACGGAGCATCAGAGGTGTTTCGAAAATGCAATGGCTAATAAAGTTGTAGAAATATTATTAGATCTAAACTTGAATAATTTGATTATACATAGATCCGCTATTTATAATAGCTACAAGACCATGACCTAAGTACGAGCCCAACAAGAATAAGCCCGTTAACGACAAACCCTACTACATTCCTTAACACTCCCCCTCAAGTTGAGCATGAGGTTAACGAATGCACAATTTGGACAATTTTAAAAAAAACTAGGACAAAAAAAAAACTTGATAAACAACTTGAACTTGATTTGCTGTGACAACAACGAACGAAGGCCCCGCAAACGAACAATATGTTTTGATGACGAATGACTCCCACGCGGTGACACGGGGACGACTAACAAGCATCCCAAACTTGGAGGCCGTGTTGCCGGACTGAGGCGCGACTATGCGACCAACCTCACAAACAAACATGCCGAACATACAACTGGTTGCACTTGAACATACCAAATAGCAACCAAAAAACAATGTCGCCAAAAACGTCATCAAATTTCAATGAACGGCAGAGTGAACATAAAAACCTTCTTCTCCTGATGAACGAAGCAAAACAAACCATCCTACGAAGCATTATCCAAACCATTGTCCAAAGTGATGAACACCAAAATTATTAATAGCCAATGTTAAGATTGGATGAACAAAAACAAAATCTCCTGTGATGAATGGAATCGGCTGAAGAAATCACAAGAACAAATCATCAAATTAAATATTTTGAGGCGGTGAGTGGGACTCCTGAGAGCAGATCTGGACTTCGAGCAAACTCGACGGTGACGCCGAACCAAGAACACAAACACGGTCAGATCCGAAATTCGAAGCAGTGTTCCGTCCAACAGATCCGTCTGTCCAGCATCGCCGGAAGTTCCCTCCGTCCGGAAGTTCCCTCCTTCGCCCGGCAGATCCGTGAGCCTCATCCTGCAATCCTATTCTTTGGCATCAAATATGGATCCTTTGTTACTCTTGCTAATTTTTGGGTAAAGCGATGGCAATGCCGCCGTCGCCGGACAAACCATCGGCGACGGCGACAGCAGAAGCAACAAATTAGAACAAATTAGAGTTTAGATTCCCAGGTTGGCTCCGATACCATGTAGAAATATTATTAGATCTAAACTTGAATAATTTGATTATACATAGATCCGCTATTTATAAACAGCTACAAGACCATGACCTAAGTACGAGCCCAACAAGAATAAGCCCGTTAACGACAAACCCTACTACATTCCTTAACAAAAGTTGTTTATGGAATCCCACTTACCCTCACAGTGCTAATGAAGTTGTTTATATTTTGGCTCAGCTAGGTAAATCTTGTTGTGGTGTTTGGAACTCTGAACTCTCCCTCCTTGATTACTCCCTCCGTTCTTTTAAACACTTCATATTTTGACTTTGGGCCAAAATAAAGAAAGTGTAATTTTGATTGACTTTTCAATTTTGTCCTGATGTGATGGGTAAAAGTGAGATCTGATAGTTTGGTTATTAGTAAAAAGTATGATGTGATAGGTATGGTATGAAAAAGTATGGGTAAAAGTGGTTTTTAAATAGAAAGTGGAAGTTTTTTAGGGAATTGGAAAAAAATGAAAGGGAAAGGGTTTTATGGAACGGAGGGAGTAGATTTATTTGTGAATCTTTGTTTTTTACGGTAAAATGTGGCAAAATAGATTAATTATCATGAAAATTTAAATTTTCTGACTTATATCATCAATAAAGTATGACCTCTGATCCGTGCAATAAAGTACATATATAATTGAACTTCTCTCATGGTTTGAGACTTGAGTGGAAGAAAACTCACTCCTCAGGATTTATTATATATATATGGAAGTTTACCCAGATTCGAGTCCAATAAAAACGAAGTTATTAGCTCTTTATACGTCATTAAGTTGAGAAAATTATGAACAATATTATATTTTAATCGAATCAATAACACTAAAAAAGTAGATATAATAACTTTGATATTATTTATGGAAATGTACTTTGTTTCTACAGCGACATCGTTTCAAAAAAATTACTCACTCGGGTCTATTAAATTTATACTCCGGGGTAGATTTTCCTTTGATTTAGCACAAAAATTAGGAAAAATGAAATTGTGTGAGTTCCGTTTGGTACACGAAATTTAAGCCATGAAATTAGAATCGGATACTTTGATTTCAATTCTGCTATTTGTTAGCACAGAAATATATGAATTTGAATTAGTGGTGCAAAAAATGAATTGAAATTCGAGAATTGAATTCCATAGAATTTCAAATCCGTCGGTCTCGAGTACCAAACGGTTCCTTATTTTAAAATTAAATTCTTTCAAAGAGTGGAAATTAAATGCAGCCCTTTTTCGAGTCGCATGAAAAATTGTTAGATGTGAATTCTTTTTTTTTTTATGAGATAGAAGGAATGAAGGAATATAATTCTCAAAACAGTAATTCAATTTTGACAAGGAGAGAGTAAGAAAGAATTCATAAAAGTTTAAAGGGGTCCGCTGCATATAGCTTACGTGGAAAAGGTTGAATTTCAAGTTGCTTGAGATACTAGCCTAGATATGCA